ACAACATGAGGTTTTTACACCATAGACCGGTTTTATATCCGACAATATTTTGCAGACTGGATCCTGGTTTAGACCTGGTTTAGTCCCGGTTTAGACCTGGTTTAGTCCTGGTTTAGACTTGGTTTATACCTGGTTTTAGACCTGTTTTTGACCCGTTTTTGACCTGGTTTAGACCCGGTTTAGACCTGGTGTAGTCCTGGTTTAGTCCTGGTTTAGTCCTGGTTTAGTCCTGGTTTAGACCTGGTTTTAGACCTGTTTTAGACCCATTGTAGACCTGTTTTTGACCCGTTTTAGACCTGTTCTTGACATGGTTTAGACCTGATTTATACCTGGTTTAGACCTGGTTTATACCTGGTTTAGACCTGGTTTAGACCTGTTTTAAAACCTGTTTTAGACCCAGTTTAACCAGGTTTTGACCTGGGTTGAGACTAAGTTTTGACCTGGTTTAGACTTGGTTTAGTTCTGGGGTTCTGTACATTACACTGAGGAGTTACTTGTACACTCAACTTCAGATTCACAGTCCAGTTTAGTCAGATTTTTTAAGGCCATCAGTTTCCTACATTTTTTCAAGCCTAAGGTCAGCCTATTAGATTTTACAGGGAAATGCCATACTACGGAACATTCCAGGCAAAGCAAAAACACCAGAAATAATATAAATATGATTATAAACAAGACAGTCCTACTACAAACGTGTCCTCTGCGTGTACAGTATCTGCAACATCAGGGAATCCGACCACAAGGACGAACAACTCAGCAGCATTAATAATAGATTTTTCAGAAATCCATTTTACACAAAGGATCTAAGGACTAATGCCTGAAAATCTGAGTGCAGAATTGTTCCAACTGTGACGTTTATTCAGGATCCGAGTTCAAAAGAAGGAAATTTTGGGAGGAAAATCACTTCTCTTGTGTTGGAACCTCTCAGCTAAACGTCGTCTGACCGCAAAGTGCTTCCCAGTTCACCTGGACTTACTGGACTTCCTCAAAAAAAAAAAAAAAAACTTAGGTGGCAGCTACTATTTTAGCCTGATTTAAACTGCTTCAGTCAGTCAGTACATTTGCAGCTGGAGTTATTGCGCCCTCTGCTGAAATTTTGGCAACACTATATAAAACTAATAATTAATGAACTCATAATTTGTTGGTTTGTTGATCATGTTTTGTAATAAAAATATGCATGCAACACAATTATATGAAAGAATAAAGATTTAAAATTATTCTTTTGCTTGTTTTTCTGTTTAAGAATGAGTCAGCTGCTCGTCTCCATGGAGATATTATTGTTGTGCCTTTAATGTTCCACAGTATCACATTAAACAGTCCAAGGAAAAGCTATTTTTGATAACAATAAATGTGAAATTGAATAAATTTAATGCCATACGGTGAAATATTCCAGGTAAAACAATAACATCTCTATGGAGAAAAGAAGGTTGTAAATTGAGACAAAATATTTGAAAATGTATGAAATTGTTTAGAAAATGTAAATGACGTGAAATGAAGTGCCACGTTGTGTTCTAGAGTTTCATCTTCGTGTTAAAGGTGAAATTTTTGGGACATTTATCTTTCAAATAGGGCTGGAAAAAATGTAATGTTAAATCAGAGGTTGTCACCAGGGGGCGCCAAAACTAAAACTAGGACTAAACCAGGACTAAACCAGGTCTAGACCAGCACTAAACCAGGAGTAAACCCAGAGTAAACCAGGACAAAACTAGAACTAAAACCAGAATTAAAACTAGGACTAAACCAGGACTAAACTAGGACTAAACCAGCACTAAAGCAGGATTAAATCAGGATTAAAACAGGACTAAAACCAGGACTAAACCAGAACTAAAATCAGGTTTAACCAGGTCTAAACCAGGAGTAAACCAAGACTAAAACCAGGACTAAAGCCAGGTCTAAACCGGGACTAAACCCAGGTTTAAACCAGGTCTAAACCAGGACTAAATCCAGGTTCAAACCAGGTCTAAACCAGGACTAAACCAGGTATAGACCAGCACTAAACCAGGAGTAAACCAGTACTAAAACTGGGACTAAACCAGAACTAAAACCAGAAGTAAAACTAGCTCTAAACTAGGACTAAAACTAGGTCTAAACCAGGACTAGACCAGAACTAAAACTAGGATTAAACCAGGACTAAACCAGGTCTATACCAGGACTAGACTAAACCAGCACTAAACCAGGTGTAAACCAGGACTAAAATCAGGACTAAACCAGAACTAAAACTAGGACTAAACCAGGTCTAGACCAGGACTAAATCAGGAGTAAACCAGGACTAAAATCAGGACTAAACCAGAACTAAAACTAGGACTAAACCAGGTCTAGACCAGGACTAAACTAGGAGTAAAGCAGGACTAAAATCAGGACTAAAACCAGGTCTAAACCAGGACTTAACCAGGTCTAAACCAGAACTAAAACCAGGACTAAAATTAGGACTAAACCAGGATTAAAACTAGGACTTAACCAGGTCTAAACCAGGACTAAAACAGGAGTAAAACAGGACTAAATTCATGACTAAAACCAGGTTTAAACCAGGACTAAACCAGAAATAAAACTAGGTCTAAACCAGGACTAAAACTAGGAGTAAACCAGGACTAAACCAAGTCTAGACCAGCACTAAACAGGAATAAACCAAAACTAACATCAGGACTAAACCAGGACTAAATCTAGGTCTAAACCAGGACTAAATTCAGGATTACAATCAGTTTGATTAATTTGAAGTTCAAATCAATTTATTTGGAAGAAAATCTGTTTGTGTTTTTCCACTTTCTTACATTTGAACTTGTGTTTCATTAATTTCATTAATTTACATTTAGATCATTTTTTTTTCCATCTTCATAAATTATCAGTCTGTTTAACAAGATGAAAAATCAAGTCTAGACTGTGCAAAAGCTGCTAAAAATGTATGAAAAATGTACAATATGAACTCCACATACAGTTTTATTTGTGATACTGAAGTGAACTTGTGCTGGTGGCTTTTTGAAAATACCCGTTTTATGTGTTTACTTACTAACACCGTGCTTTTAGAACTTTATGCCGGAGTGCTTTTAAGCTTTATGGATCAAATAACGTCCACATTTGTCCTCTGCCCCTTTTTGATAAACTGCACTCATAAACTCGAGTCGATGTTAAAGGAGTAAGCGTGAACTACTGTGTTAATACATGCACTTTTATACCCGCGGGCTGGACCGGTTTATGTTTAAGAGTTTGTGTTGGAGCGGAAACAGGAGCCAGCGCTGACACTTGGTGCTCTGCTGCCATCTGCTGGTCGTTTGAGGTCATCCTGTATCATGGAGCATTGGGTACAGAGCAGAACAGAATAAATAATATAAATAATAATATAATAAAGGCAAGGCAAATGTATTTGTACAGCACAATTTGTACACAAAGTAATTCAAAGTGTTTTGCAGAATAATAAATACGTTAAAATCATAATACAAACAAATCAAAACAAATAATCATAGAATTAAAAAGAGACATTAAATGAGAGAGAAGTCACACGCAGTTAAACAGAACTGTGTCATAGTAGAGTCTGTCTCACATGTTCAGACTTTTCCAGGTTTTAGATGCATAAACCTGAAACTCTGACTCCCCGTGTTTAGTCGTGACTCTGGGCACCAGCAGGAGGTTGGTCCCTGAGCTCCTCAGAGTGTGAGATGGTTCATGTGGCACTAACATGTCACAGATGGACTCTGGAAAGACTTGGGTCCCTGAGCCACAGGGGGCAGTGCAGAGACCTGAGCACAGGACGTATGTGCTCGGACTTCCTAGTTCGAGTCAGGACCCGTGTTCTGGATGTTCTGCAGCGTCTCACAGCTCGTTTGGAGAGACCAGTGAGCAGAACATTACAGTATCTAATCTACTGGAGACAAACGCATGGATAAGTTTCTCCAAGTCTGATTTAGACAATATACCTTTGATTTTTGCCATGTTTTTAGGTGTTAAAAGGCTGCAGATGATATTGATTCGATGTGGCTGTTAAAGTTCAAGTAAGAGTCCATTATTACCCCTAGATCAGGGGTCATCAAACTAAGGCCCTTAGACTGGCCCTCCAGCCCCTCTGCCCCTCACCACTTGAAATAATCCTCAAATGTTTTTATGGCCTATTTTTTTTTTTTTATTTTTTGGAAAATATTAACACGTCGCCATCTTGTATTTTATTGATTTTTTAAATTAAAAAAAATATATTTGTATTAAGTATTTATATTTATATTTAAGTTATTATATGATGTATTTACGTTTGCCACTGAATTTTCCTCACCTGACAAGCTCGAGATCAAACAGTGACAGTCAACGCACGCGCTCAAATCGAATGCAAATCTATTATTACGCCAGACTGTCAATGAAAATGTCTGTGTTGATAGAAGAATTTTAGAAGTAAAAACAACTTTACATTTGAAAGATTTATGTCTGAGCAGCAGCAGTGAGCTGTTCTTCCTGACAGAAAGTTTGGCAGCGGCGGACTGATATATGAGAAAATAGTCCCTCAACATGCGACGATTCATGCGATGCAAGGTTAGTTTATATTTCAAACATTATTCTATCAACACAGACATTTACATGGACAGTCTGGTGTAATAATAGATTTGTTTCAGGTGTTTTGTGGAGTGGGTAAGACTGTTTTTAGTGACAGGATAAACTATGGCCATTGACATGCACTAGTCTAACACCAGTGACCTCTGCAAATACAAGAACCGGATGGAATATTTTAAAAAGTGTCTCCACACGTGTCCAACACTCTGCCTCAGACTTTTGGAAACATTTATTATTATATTTATATACCACAGTTTTTGTGTTGGTTGTATCATTTTATTTTGTCGTATTTACCCGCCACACGTTAAAGACGGATCTGTGAAAATATTATCTGACATTAAACTGGTCCGTGGCTCAAAAAAGGTTGGGGACTGTTCTAAATTATTGTTTTTGTTTTTTTTTATTACAGCTCCATGATGATGTGACTGTCTGGACACTAAATTGCTCTAAATATACTTTACGTTTCCTTTTCACAGAACATGACAGAAAATGACCTGAGGAAGTTCAGCCCCATTCTTCAGCCGTGAGTTTGACTTTTTGTTTCACTATGAACTATTCAAAACTTTCAAACTGAACTTGCTCTGATATTCTTGAATTTCCTCAACAAAGTTTCTATTTATCATATTTGTTTTGCCTTTGAGTCTAAAATTTACAATAGTGAAAATAGCGAATCAATAAAACTTTGAACAACACTAATTTTGGCGATGATTTTATTCTCTTAAAATTCTTAGTTAGAGCTTTAGGTCTGTGTGCTGTTCTTTCTTGTGAATTTCAATTAAGAACAAAAACAATTAAAACATCGGAAAAACAGTTTGTTATTTAATTTTTCCATTTTAGTGTCAAACAAAAAAACAAGTTTCGATCTTTAGTTCCAATATTTAATTTAAAGTTTATTTCAAATAACACCGATCAAAAAACAGTCTCGGTGCCTGTTTCAATTTGGATATTTTATTCTCTGGTTTATTTGCCCCGGAAGTTCTGCTGCTGGTTTTAGACCTGGTTTAGTCCTGGTTTAGTCCTGGTTTAGACCTGGTTTAGACCTGGTTTAGTCCTGGTTTAGTCCTGGTTTAGACCTGGTTTTAGTCCTGGTTTAGTCCTGGTTTAGACCTAGTTTAGTCCTGATTTAGTCCTGGTTTAGACCTAGTTTAGTTCTGGTTTAGACCTGGTTTAATCCTGGTTTAGACCTGTTTTAGGCCTGGTTTAGACCTGGTTTAGGCCTGGTTTTGACCTGGTTTAGACCTGGTTTTAATCCTGGTTTAGTCCTGGTTTAGACCTAGTTTAGTCCTGGTTTAGACCTAGTTTAGTTCTGGTTTAGACTTGGTTTAATCCTGGTTTAGTCCTGATTTAGTCCTGGTTTAGTCCTGATTTAGTCCTGGTTTAGACCTGGTTTAGTTCTGGTTTAGAAGTATGACGTACGGGAGGAGGCACAGTGGTTTTAGACCTGGTTTAGTCCTGGTTTAGACCTGGTTTTGACCTGGTTTAGTCCTGATTTAGACCTGGTTTAGTTCTGGTTTAGTCCTGGTTTAGACCTGGTTTAGTCCTGGTTTTAGACCTGGTTTTAGTCCTGGTTTAGTCCTGGTTTAGATCCTGGTTTAGTTTAGACCTGGTTTAGTCCTGGTTTAGACCTGGTTTAGTCCTGGTTTAGACCTGGTTTAGTCCTGGTTTAGACCTGGTTTAATCCAGGTCCTTGTTTAAGTCGATGTAGAAATTATACACACTCCTCCTTTCAGCTATTCTCCAGATTCTTATAATCTAATGAAAATGATTTGTCGACTAATGCAAATTTTGACATCATAAACGTGACTAATCGAGCTGATGCATCATCCTGAAGAGCCGCGCTGGACCGAGGATGGACCGAGTTTTTTTGGTGATCCCCCTGTTTCACTTCACGTGTTTGGAGAAGCTGTTTTAAACTCTACCCAAAAATTCATGCACAGATTGAAGCACTTCCTCTTTTCAGTTTAAAAACCAGGCAATGCAGTTTTAAAGGTTTATATTATGTAATTTTCTAATACTTGTTACAATTTTTTTCTCATCAAAACACCTTATTATCATTGTGTAAATTACAATCACACACGTTTATGGGCTGCTGTATCGATATATCACCAGGAGTATTTTTTTGGTGTATTTTACTAAATTATTTTGTTACAGCTACAGTTTTGTTGCTTGTTTAGAGGAAGGAAACTCGTTTATGCACATTTGACATTTTCACTTTTACAGGTTTTGAGGATTAAAATGTTTGTGTTTCATATGAACTTTGCACAAGAAGTGGTTTAACGAAGACTTTTAGTATCACAGCCTTTATTTTTTATTGAATTGTACTGAAGGGCTCGACTGATATGGATTTTCTTACGGCTGATATGATAAAATGGGAGTTGAAGGTGCCGATATAAAAGCCGATATATTAATGATGTAAAAATTCACTGTATATCTTCAGCTGATTATAAAACTTAGGTCTGTCAGTTTATTTAGGCGACATTTATTGTTATTTTGCCTCTTTACGTCATATTTAAAGACACTACGTCGGCCTAATGGCATTTTTGCATGACGTTTTCACCACTAAAGAAAGCAAATAAACTACCTCTATCAGTCTACCGCGCCGTGGTAATTCATTACATGCGTAAATGCCGATCATGCACACCTCTTCACAGCTCATTTACATATCAGTGCAGGTCTAGTAACATGTACAGACATTATAGTCACTTTACACTAACCTCTAACCCTAATGTAAGAGAAAACAGACTGTTTATGTGTGGTGTTTTACAGTAGATAAGCTCTAATCAATGAGAAAGATCCAGAAGTAGCGCTAAAACCAACACATCTGCAACACTCACCGCTCACACAGGCCCCTCTCAGATCACAAGTCTGCATTAATAAGTTTGATTAAAAAAAGCTGTAGTTTTGTTGCTGAACTAAACTGTGCTGAAGTCAAATTTATTTATAGTCAGTGTGAGCATTTAAAGCAGTGTAAAAAAAAAAGTGTTTCTCACCTTCCACGGTGGTAGGTCTCTCACCCTCATTCAGCTCGGGTCGTCTACCAGAGGCCTGGGAGCCTTGAGAGTTCTGCGCAGTATCTTTGCTGTCCCCAGTACTGCACTTTTCTGGACTGAGATGTCCGTTGTTTTTCCCGGTATCTGTTGTAGCCACTCTTCCAGTTTGGGGGTTACAGCCCCGAGTGTCCGATCACCACAGGCACCACTGATGCCTTTACTTTCCAGGCTCTCTCCAGCTCCTCCTTGAGCCCCTGGTGTTTCTCTAGTTTCTCGTGTTCCTTTTTCCAACACCACTTGTAGAGTGAGTGTGAAAATAATTTATAATCACTCATGAAAGTCTATTTTCTTTTATGCAGTTATGCTGTAAGGGCAGCTCTAGTCATATGTGTATGGGTTGTTCCTTGTAGGACGCCTACTAGGAACAACCCATAGGGGAAAGAGTTAAACTCCATACACTTTCACGAGAATCATTTGAATTATTGCGGCCCTGGAATTGCCAATCTCTACTGAACCAAAGGTAAAAGAATCTGTTGACTTAAAAAGTACAACTTCCTTACATCACAATGTGGAACAGAACATTTTGAGCTTTGGAGATGTAGACAGACCGATAATAAAGGGTTACTTAAACACGTGTGAATGAAAAAACCCTCTGCACTGTCCGGTACAGCCCCTCATCCGTCAGTTTCAGGTAGAACTCTTCCCTTGGGACAAATGTGAAATGTGTTTTTGGAATGCCCCAAAAAACGAACACACGGCATCTCGTTTTCAAAAACACACAGACGACCTTTGAAACGGTCACACTTCTGAACTGCACCTCACATGGAAAAAACGTGGACAGTTACAAGTTCCCTTTAGCGGTTTCACAACGTTTTTCTCTGTGCAGCTATAGTTAATCTGTGGAGGTAACTGTTGTGGTAAACAGACACAGATATTTTTAGGTTTAGGTGAAACTGAGAGAGTGGGAGGCGTCCGAAAATAGCCAAAAACATAACAAGTCTTAAGCTGCACATGTCCTAAAACCACTTCCTGTCCAAACTTGGAACTTTCAGTATCACATTCACTTGTAAAAAGTAAAGAGGGGCAGTACTTAGTTACATTACAGTACTGTATTTTTCAGGTGATAAGTCGCTTCAGAATATAAGGCTAAGTTCAGACTGCAGCCTGAAGTGACCCAAATCCGATTTTTTGGCCCCTATGTGACCTGTGTCTGATCTTTTAAAACCGATACATATCTGATCTTTTGACATGTGGCTTCAGTGTGAACGGCCAAAGTGCATTCATCCACCTACACGTTATCAACAAGCCACAAACGTCACTATTCTGGGCTGAAGTAGGCGAAATTGTTAATGAACTCTGCGTCACAGAAGCGAAGCACATCACCACTCACCACTCTTGGCTCCGTCTCCACATCCACACGTTCCTTTCAACAGACGTCGCTGCCGCTGCCCCACAAAACACCACGACCAAAAACCTCGTCCTTCTCCTTCTCAATCTCCTCCTTAAAATAAGTAAGTTGTTCATGTTCTGGCTCCGGTACGAGAGGAACTTTAAAATCTCCAGGTGCTCGATGCTGCGTCCATGTTTGGACAACTTCTGTAAACACAGAGACGCTCACTGCGGTTGACGTCGTCGTCCAGGCTTTGTCCATCCATCCAGTGACTCCAGTTTACTGTACATGACTTAAACTTCGATACTGGACTGAACCAGGACTAAAACAGGACTAAACCAGGACTAAACCAGGACTAAACCAGGACTAAACCAGGACTAAACCAGGACTAAACCAGGACTCTAAACCAGGACTAAAACAGGACTAAACCAGGACTAAACCAGGTCTAAACCAGGACTGAACTGAGGACTAAACCAGGACTAAAATAGGTCTAAACCGGTCTCAGTCCTAGTCTCAGTCCCAGTTCTGGTCCTGGTCCAGGCCCGGTCTCAGTCCTAAACCAGGACTAAACCAGAACTGAACCAGGTCTAAACCAGGTCTAAACCAGGACTAAAACAGGACTAAACCAGGACTAAAACAGGACTAAACCAGGACTGAGACCTGATTCAGTCCTGTTGTAGTCCTGGTTCAGTCCCGTTTTAGTCCCGGTTTAGTCCTGTTTCAGTCCCGTTTTAGTCCTGGTTTAGTCCCGTTTCAGTCCCGTTTTAGTCTTGGTTCAGTCCTGTTGTAGTCCTGGTTCAGTCCTGTTTTAGTCCCGGTTTAGTCCTGTTTCAGTCCCGTTTCAGTCCTATTTTAGTCCTGGTTCAGTCGTGTTGTAGTCCTGGTTTAGTCCTGGTTTAGTCCTGGGTCAGTCCTGGTTCAGTCCTGGTTTAGTCCTGGTTTAGTCCTGGGTCAGTCCTGGTTCAGTCCTGGTTTAGTCCTGGTTCAGTCCTGGTTCAGTCCTGGTTTAGTCCTGTTTCAGTTGTTTCAGTCCGGCATCGCAGTTTAAGTCACGGAAACGAGAAACAGCCGTTTTTTCCGTTTTGTCATTTTTGTTTTTATTTTGAAAAACGAATGAACAAACAACACACAGATTTTTATACTTTAGTAGTTTAGTTTAGTAGTTTTTTACTCTATACTTTTGACTTTTTGTGGACTTTTTACTTTGAATTTAACTTACTTTTACGTCTAGTACAATTTGCGTCTCTACCCATTTGTGTTCTGAAATATGTCTGCATCTTTCTGAAACACAACCAGCCCGTTTAAGTTACTGAAACCAGCGTCTATGCAAAAAGCAGAAGTAGACTTTGTTTTTTTTTCTTTCAAACCCACCTCCCTCCAGTGACACACCAGACTCAAGGAGCAGCTATTTCCAAACCTTCTCTTCATTTGCCGCTTTACCCTCGCGCTGTCAGGACTAGAACGTACGAGGCGATGATCCAAAATGCAAACGCTCACTCACAAATTTAACATGGACACACTGAGTAAACTGACTGCTCCTGCCGCCGTCAAGTTCCGGTAAGAAAACGCTCCAAATGTTTAAAAGACGCGTAACTTTTCTTCGCCTGCTTGTTTCCTTCGTGGTGCTACTGCTTTGCTTTTGTGGTTTAGTGTTATCAATGTAGATTTGACGTCGCAACAATGCCAAAATTTAAGATATAAACACCTAAATCTATCAGAAAATGACTTAAAAGTACTGAAATTTTCTGTCCGTGCAGCAAAATAAATCTGCTTGACAAGTTATCTTAAAATAAACGACCTCTAGGCTAGAATTAAATCAGAAAACAAGACGAATAACCTGACGTAAGTTTTAAAATCTTGGCCACTTCAGAGAAATTTGCAGATTATTTCATTGTGTTTTATGGCTCACTTGAAAAACATGAGTTCTTTCTATGAGTGGGCTCGCCTCTCCACAGATCTAATTCAGTTTAGTGGCCAAATGTTTGTCTACATGCAAGATAGAGATAGAAGTTTAATGCCATACTCTTGGTAAAAAAAAAAAATTAAAATAGCAATATAAATAAATAAATTAATTAATTAATTAAATTACAAAAATAAAATTAAATTAAAATTAATTAAAAAATAAAATCAATAAATAAATAAATACATAAATAAATAAATACATACATAAAAACATAAATTAATTAAAATAAATGAAAATAAATAAATACATTTAAAAAATACATAAAGTTAAGCAGGCTGTTTTTAAAAATGAAAAAAAATAAATCAATATATTTTTCTTTTTTCTTTCAGTAAAACTATAGTTGAGCTGATTTGTGAAATTGTTTAATATTTATCTTCTAAAATGTAAAAAGTTTGAATGTGTGTAGAGTCCCTCAGTCGTCCAGGTAGAATCTATGACAAAGGAGAAATTGGAAACTGGAAAAACGTTTATCTAGAGAGGAAACGTTTCACAGCTCAGTCTTGGATGTGAAACTTTTTTGACGTAAATAAACGTTTTTTCAGTTGATAACCACAAAAAGTTTCAGGGGTACATTTCTGTTTTGCTTTTGAATCCGCTTTGTCAGTCCTATAAATTTCAACAAACGTAAACTGCAAAAACGTCTTTTATTGTAATTGCTTTGTATTTTTTAAAAACTTGAACAAGATCGGTGAATTTATTTTGAGTTAATTAAGCGATTGGTCTTAAAACTTACAGACGACAAGGGTGTTCGTGCTCGTCTCATTTGTTCTAGTGACTTTGAAAACGTCTCCGTGGAGGTTTTGCATTTTTATTTGAGCGTAAATTACCTAAAAAAAAAAAAATCCAGTATAACAGAAAATTTACAACCCAACTTTATTGGAGTTTAAATCTTTTGCAGGCAGCTTCAGAAAATTGTCCAGGACATAAAGAAGAATGACGGCAGCATATTGGACAAACTAAGAAGGTGAGTCAGTCATAACCAACTGTGATGTTTTGCTTTTGGTTTCTAGTCTGTTTAGTACAATGTGCACTCAACTTAGTACTGCATTTGTCGGACTATAAGTCGCACCAGCCAAAAAATGCTTAATGAAGAAGAAAAAACATGTATAAGTCACACAGGACTATAAGTCGCGCTTTTTGGGGGAAATTTATTTTAAAAAATTAGAGACCAGGAACTGAAATGTCATCTTGAAAGGAAAGTTTTAGCAATAACAATAGAACAGAGAATAGAATAGAGAATAGAGAAAAGGCTCTTAATGTAACATGAACAGTTCTTCAGATAATTATAACATAAACAACAGAACAGAACAAGTTTACCACTAAATTTAATCGCTAAATCCATTCAATTCTTCATCCTCGGTGTCACTTCTGAGCAACTCCGCGACCTCCGGAGGTAAACAGAGCGCCGCTTCCTCTTCTGTGTCGCCGTCGTCAGACTCGGCGTCAGTTCCAGTTAGAATTATTCCAGCATTTCTGAATCCCGACAGGATGGTTTCGGTGTCACTGAAGTCCAGGCTTTGTCCATCCATCCAGTGACTCCAGGAAAATTGCATGGTGCATCCTCCCGGTGACCGTGAAACTGTGTTCTTCATCCCCGCATTTTCACAAGTTTCTCGCTCACTCCAAACTTTCGTTCTGCTGCTCGATTACAGTTTTCGGCTGCATATTTCACTACTTCCCGCTGGACAGAGGCTCTTTCTGCAGGAGACATGCACAGTAGAGTGAAGTGACAGTGGTGACAGGAGGAACAGGAGCAGCAGATACTCACACACAAGACTAGAACCTCTCACCGCTTCACTGAAACATTTTATATATAAGTCGCACCGGAGAATAAGTCACCAAAAACACTCAAACCATGAAAAAAAAAGTGACTTATAGTTTAGTTTGTGAACTCAGACAAAAGTGACTTCAAAATATTACAAAAAATATAACATATAAATAGGAAAATGTAAGGAAAATTGCTGATTAAACGACTCCAAAATGCTCAGAATTCTACTTTTTGAACTCACTATTACCAGTGTTGGGAGTAACAGATTACATGTACCAGAGTTACGTAATCAGAGTACAAATTATGAGTAACTGTATTCAGTTACAGTTACTGTTTCAGTGAGTGGTAATTGGATTACAGTTACTTTGTTGAAATAAATGGATTCACACGGCAGGATTTTCCTGTTTTCACATTTGGGGCTATATCCCTTTTTTTTTTTTTTTTTTTCTCGGTAATTTCACTCATTGCCAGAAACTAAACCAGGTCTAAAACCAGGATCTAAACCAGGTCTAATCTAGGTCTAAACCAAGTCTAAACCAGGACTAAAACCAGGATTAAACCAGGTCTAAACCAGGACTAAACCAGGACTAAAACCAGGATTAAACCAGGTCTAAACCAGGTCTAAACCAGGTCTAAAACAGGATTTAACAGGACTAAACCAGGTCTAAAACAGGATTTAACAGGACTAAACCATGCTGTGCGGACGTGTCTCCTCCTCTTCTATCAATAATATTTTTAAAGACTAGGCCTTTTTATTTTCTTTTAACAGACAAAACATCTTATGTTACGATTTCCTCGCCTTTGCTTCTCTACAACAAATCAAGTAATCCAAAGTATTCAGATTACATTACTCACTTTCAGTAATTTAATGGATTCCGTTACAAACTACATTTTGGTTTATGTAATCTGTAATCTGTAGGGGATTACATTTTAAAAGTCACCTTCCCAACACTGATTATAACACATAAATTCTACTACTACTACGTTTTTACATATAAAACTAAGCAATATTTGATCTAAACTCACTCACATAAGCATGTTTAGGCCTCGATATCTCATCCACGTGTTTGTTCTGTGTATCAGATTTGACTTAATTTCAGTTCCTGTATTAATCTGTGCCGTGCTTGGACAGATTTCACTCAGAACGGAAACGTATTTTTACCGCACGATTGTTATATCATGATTTAGTGCCGTGGTTTCTTTATGCGCCTTTAAGAGATTAGGATCGTTTCATTTATTTATTTATCAGTTATCGATCTGGAAAGGCGTCTGTCAAAAGAAAAGTGACTGAAAGCAAAGAGAACTCAACAAACAACAAACTAATTGCCATTAAAGTGGAGTTTTCATCGACTTAAAGTGCCTATAACATCTTAAACTACTCATTTGAAACAGTTAAGGTCTTTATTTTTTACATTTCACATTATTCCACCCAGTTTGACCTTTTTTTTTGTTTCAAATTTGACTTCCCGGTTGGAAATTGTGACTCACGGTGGGTGATTACCAAGAAATAATGAAGTAGAATAGGTCAAAATTCATTTCAATTATATTATTAATATTAATTATATTATATTAGACAAATAAAATTCCAAGAAAACACATTTATTTTGTTGAAATCGTGTTTATCGTATCAGAGGAAAATAGTTTCTTGCCTAGAGTGACCAGACTTTTAAAATTCTAATCTGGGACACACCCAGTTTTGGATGTTTGATATATATAAAATTGTGAGAAGAGCGTGGAAAATTGTGCATTCTCGTGTCATAATTTGAGAGGCTTCTGTCGCTGCATTTTTTTTTTTGCTTTATGATCATTTGCAAACACGGTTTTCTGTATTTTGGAAAAAAAATATGAGAATTTATGCTCCTCTTCACTGTTGGTAGGGATCAGATTGGTCAAGAATTGTGATAGTTCTGTTTTAGTCCTGGTTAAGACCTGATTTAGTCTTGATTTAGTCCTGGTTTAGGCCTGGTTTAGACCGGATTTCGACCTGATTTAGTCCTGGTTTAGGCCTGGTTACTTGGGATGTAACAATAACGTGACAATAACACGGATTTAACACGGATTTTGGGGGAAAAAAATGACAATTTATGCTCCTGTTTACTGTTGGCGAGGATCAGATTTGTCAAAAATTGTAATAGTCCTCTTTTAGTCCTGGCTTAGACCTGGTTTAGTCCTGATTTAGTCCTGTTTTAGTCTTGATTTAGACCTGATTTAGTCCTGTTTTAGTCTTGATTTAGACCTGATTTAGTCCTGTTTTAGTTCTGATTTAATCCTGGTTAGTAGGGATGTAACAATAACCGAAATATCGTGATATCGTATCGTCAAAAGTCTCACAATAATATCGTGGACCATCACAATAATATCGAATTACAAGTTCCTTTGCTTAAATTTATGGTTTTACAGTAGCAACATCTTATAAATATCGGAAACTACATTTCCCATGATTCATTTCAGCGCAGACAACATGAAGAAATATGTTTTTTACTTGAATTCTTGGGATTATAACAGTAATAATTCACACCAAAGTCTTATCAAGGTATTTTAAAAGCAGAAACGTGTCCAAAATATCTCCAAAATATCGCAATAAATATCATACCGAGAGATTTGGATATCGTTGCATCCTTACTGGTTACGTCAAATTGGTCAAAAATAGGGACACCTGGGACATTTCTTGCATAAAAATGGGACAAATCAGTGGTTTTGGATAAATCTGCAGGGACAGGGGACACTGGGCTCGATACTGGGACTGTCCCGGGTAAATTGGGAAGTCTGGTCACCCAAAATGAGACCAAACATTTGGACAGAACCCTCCGTAGCATGAAATTTTCTTCACAAAGTGCATCTTGATTGGTGTAAAACTATCATTTATAATCAGAACAGGTATTATCCCACCAAATGAAGTCAAAATTAGAGAATCAAAACCTTCATTTGCACTTTAAAACCTCCTCCAAATCCTAATCCTGACCAAATTTTCCTCAAGAAACACTGCCACTATTGACTACCCAGTGTTGGGAAGGTGACTTTTAAAATGTATTCCCCTACAGATTACAGATTACATACCCCAAAATGTAGTTTGTAACGTAATCCATTAAATTACTTAAAGTGAGTAACGTAATCTGAATACTTTGGATTACTTAATTTGCTGTAAAGAAGCAAAGACGAGGAAATCTTCACATAAATCTGCTAAACAGACAATAAAAAAGCCCAGTCTTACTTAACTGTATTAAAAATATTATTGATAGAAGAAGAGGAGACATGGTCCACGCAGCATCGTTTAGTCCTGTTATATCCTGTTTTAGACCTGGTTTAGTCTTGGTTTAGTTCTGGTTTAGTCCTGGTTTAGTCCTGGTTTAGACCTGGTTTTAGATGTGGTTTAGACTTGGTTTAGACCTTGTTTAGACCTGATTTAGACCTGGTTTTAGTCCTGCTTTCGTCCTGCTTTTGTCCTGGTTTAGTCCTGGTTTAGGCCTAGTTTAGACCAGGTTTCAGACCTGGTTTCAGACCTGGTTTCAGACCTGGTTTCAGACCTGGTTTAGTGTCCGGCAATGAGTGGAATTACCGAAAGAAAAAAAAAAAAAAAAAAGGAATACCCCAAAATGTGAAAACAGGAAAATATCGCCGTGTAATCCATTTATTTCAAAAAAGTAACTGTAATCCAATTACCACTCACTGAAACAGTAACTGTAACTGAATACAGTTACTCATAATTTGTACTCTGATTACATAACTCCGGTACATGTAATCTGTTACTCCCAACACTGTGACTACCTCACGATTCAACTCACTATTCGATTTTATCACGATATGGCGACATGATATTCTGTGATTTTTTATTTTTTAAGAACCAAACACATTTTATTAGCAGTATTTCTTTGTTAAACCATTACTAATTAAGATAAAACGCTTCTGTTTTAATCATCAAAACAGCAAATGTGTTTACATTATTACATTAACCAGTTTCTTTCCACTAAAAACACAAAAAATGTCAATATTTCTACGTTTTTGCACAAAGAATTACTGCAATTTGTCAACTCGAAAATAAGTCAGTTGCGATAAGATTGAAAAAACATCAGATTATTAAAAGTTAGTCTACGAATTTCGCTAAAACTAAAACAATTTCACGAATAACTGCTGATCTGACCCGATACGAGGCTCACACATGTCCAGCACTGCACCGCAAGCCTTCTATATTTTACTCA